GGGGGATGTGGGGGATGTAGGGGGGAGGTGGTGGGGGCTCAGATAATGAAAATAGTCCCTGAACTTGATTTCCTTAATCACTGCATGTCCCTCTTTCTGTTAATTGAAGATAATTATAGGATTTTAATTTTCTTATGTAGGTTAAAGAGGAGAGTGAGAAGTCAGAGCAGATGAAATAACTGAGGCAGATGAAGACGAAGAGGCCGACAGAGTCTATTAGTGATGCACACAGACTGAACAACGGCCTTAAACGGCGTTTAGGATTTTTACCACGTTTAAAATAACATGTTTTTGTATTGACGCTGATGTTGCTCGATGATTGCAGGGCGGAAAGTTCTTTAATTAACCTTTAAAATGAGACTGTACAGTAATGTAAAGGCCTGTTTTCATCACCTTTTTTATGATGTGTTTGAAACTATAATAAAACTATAATAATATAAATATATACAACCTAAAAATTAAAAGGTAAAAGAAAAAAGATAATTTATTTATAATGTGTTCTGTACCTGAAGAGACACCCACAATTCATTATTTAGCTCACTCCAAACTGTACAGATATTTGCCATTAAATAAAAACAAACACACTCATATATCCTGGGGACTTGTTAAATAAATAAAGGCATTAATAAATCAGATGAGGCTCGTAATGCCGGTGGTTTTATTTTTTTCTGAAGGTTTTTAACCGACAAATACAGTGGAGAACCTGAAGCCATTAAAGAGACACAAACTGTTAGAAAAATAATAACCTTATGTTAGCGTTATATTTAAAATAAGAAGTATGAAGAAACAAAATGTTTGCATTTATAAGTTGCAGCGTTATTACACAAAATAATTAGTAAATAATGTGACTGAATAAATAATATATTTAAATGCCATTTTTTTCCTGTCCTACAACTGTAGCTTCAATGTTGAGATCTATAAAATGAGCTAATTAATTTATAATATGACAATATTTCAGTCAGTTGTTAACCTCTCCAGTGGCTTCCTGTGGCTCTGACAAAAATTACATAGAAATAATTAATTATCATTTTCATGTATCATTGTTGTAGACCTAAAATGAGTCTTACATTGTCCAACTGTTCATCCATGACACAAAAACATTGATCCGACGCATTTCCCTCCATATTTTGCGTCAATTTCAGTGGCTATGGATTGGCTTATGGTTGATCTGTGGCGATAAATAAGTTCAGTTAATCATCATTATGAGGCTCAGATATTTTTTGCGGCTCCAGGCAGATTATGTTTTTTGGGCAGAAATGGCTCCTTTAATAGTAAAGGTTGCTGACCTCTGCTGCAGGAAGACAAACTGTAGAAGAGTCCTCAGAAATCAGTATTTAAACTGAAAAATTCGCATTCAGCAGTTTGACTGATAATTTTTTATTTTCAGAGCAAGATAATGTTCCAGTAATTCTCCCAACTTTGGCGCTCATTCTCAGACTGTTGATCTCTTTTATTTAATGCCGTTTTATTTTTGATCCTTGACTGAGCTCCATGAATGTAATCCAGGTTTTGGCTGTTAAATGACAATGTTGATTCATTCAGCGTTCTGTGGCCGGGGGCGCAGCGCTGGCAAATCATTTGATGGCACAAAATTAGAAATTGGAAAGTAGGTAGAAGGTTAAAATGAGAGGATAAAATATATATATGGAGCACAGAATATGACTAATCTGAAGGAAGTGTTTATCTGGAAACAAAAGGTAGTTTGCGGCGCAGATGTTGAAGGGGTTAAGGTGGTAAATCGTGGATCAACCAGATAATAGGAAAACACAGTATTTGTACTTCATGTGTACAGGTGTTGACTTCCCCGGTTTGAAAGCTTTATTTTCCACTTTCAGGGCTGCTGACTGAACTAATGGCACAAAGCACAACAGTCTACAGAAGCTAAATGTTTGAAATGGCTTTCTGATATGTGTAATATGTGAGTGGTTTGGGACAAAGTGGATGTGTGAAAGAGGTAAAAAGAAAAGGCTGGAGCTTTAATATGGCTGTATACAGACTGTGAGCCGCAGCTAATGCTTTGTGTTGCCTCTCCATTACCTCAGAAATATGAAGAAAACACAAGTATTTGTCTTGGAAATGGATGGCGATGTTTGGCAGAGCGCAATCACAGCCCTTTGTATCGGAGAAAATGGTGTGAGCTCGGCCAAATGGAACGATTATGAAAAACTGACCATCTTTTTCCGGCGTTCCCGCGGGGTGGAGGGAGAAGACGGGCCAGAAAACGGACAGCGCGTTCAGTAATTTGAGTTTATTTATGTGATGCGTGTCGGGAAGGAGAAAGCAGAGCGGTGCAACGAAGGACTGATTGATCTTTCAGAGGCAATCACGACGAGCAGCGAGCAGAAAATGGGCCGCCGGCGTCCGTCGGTCTCATCTGTGAGCGGGATTACGTGACACTGGCAGACCTTCACCTGCTCGACCTGTTTCTGGAGGTAAAATCATAATGTCAACAGGCAGGAGCGCGCCGCGGTGTCGATTAGTAATGACAACGTACAGATACAATCTATCTATCTATCTATGAATTTATTACAGCACCAAATGGATCTTTAACCACTGAATGATTTCTTTATTTAGGGGATTTAACCTGCACTGGTCCACAAAGACACTTTGCATTTAAGCGTGATTAGATTTTTCTAAAAGTTGTATTTTCTTGTGACTGACTTTCTTCAGATCAATGTGCTGCAGTAAAAAAGTAACAGATGCTGAATTTAAGAAAAGTGCTGATCCATGTGAGTTTCATGCTGATAAGGAATCATTCGAGTTCAGTTTGGTTTTGCCAAATTTCAACATTTTAGAACTGTTGAAAAAGTCTGAGGCACTTTTTAGGTACATAAAGCCTGAAATATCTCACTGCTATTTACTCATAGTAACATAGTAAGTAACATTATTAACTCATGCCTAAGCATTTCAGACTTTCCGGCCTTCATCAGGGCAAATACAAAATAGTTGCCTGTGGGCTGTTTCTTCTATCTGTTAACAAGTAGTCTTTATCTACAGACGCTGCAGGTTGCCTTTGATGGAATCCGCCATGTTTCTACAGTAGCCCAGAACGGACAAACACTGGCAGTAGATTAGACTTTGGCCTCACAGCCACCGTAGTTTCTCCTACATAGTTCACAACCCGTTCACAGCCCTGCTCCCCACGGAAATCATTAGAGTGAAGGCAATGTCAGACTGAAAAAGGAAATGGTGTGTAATGAGTTGACAATTCTGTCTGATATCAGACAACCACTCAACCTTGCACTCTGAGGTCTTTTGTCACGGTTGGCTTTTATGTATTACTGCCAGTGCTTAAGACGACAGCAATTTGAATACAGCTCAGCCTCAGAGTGAAACATTATATATATTAACAAAAAATAGTAACAGTAAGAACTGTACCAGTAGAAATAAGACGAATAATACACCATACTTTAACATAGCGCTTCAAGATGAGTCTACAGATGTGTATGTGGGCCCCACATGTGTTATGCTTGGGTACCAATTGGGATTGGGCCTAAAATAGGCATCTTATCTGGGACCCACTTGGGTCAACTAAGGTGCAAACCCATGTGGGCTCCCTCTGTGGGTCCTAGTTGGGTCACTCATGGGAAATGAGAGCACCCACCTAACAACCAGTGTAATCCTGCATAAAGCCCACATGGGCAATTGACATGGAGCCATTATGTCACCGTGGACAATCCCATATAGGGCCTATTTTTCAGCCCATCTGATACCCACATGGACCCCGCATACAAATATTAGTTGGCAAGAGGACACGCACCCTCTGTAGATAAAAACAGCTCCTCCTAAGGTAACGAAAATACAACAATTCTTATTTTCAGGTGATTATACACAAATAAAAAAAAGACCTATGAGTATTTTGGCTCTGATACCAGCTCCTGTATACACTCGCCTCTCCCTCGAGACTTCCTGTACATGCTGAACTCCTACCAGGGCTCACCAGATTCACTCTTCACTCTCAGACAGTACACTCAGCAGCCTGTGGATCTTATTCCTGGCTGCCAGACTCACTGCGCATTGATTTAAATACTTCTCCACTGTAATCATCTCCATTTATCTCTTCTATCTGCAACAGTAATTTCTTTTTGAATTAATTTGTCAGGCACAATGTACAAAAACCATTAACCTCATTTAAGGAGGAGGAAAGCTTTGCACCAGATTTAGCTACAAGCTGCTTTCCATCTGCAGTTTCTGGGTGGGATACAATATACAACAAGTGTTGTTTATTTACTGAAAGCAGAACACAAGTAGCTGATGTTGTTTTTAACCTTTTTTTAACAGTTTTTTTGGTGCCTCCTTTGCTCCCTCTCTTTTGAGTTTAAACATAATCACGCAGTCGCCGTGTGAAGTTACAAACAGGCCGGTCAAACACAAACACTTATCTTCATCGACCGCAATCTGACTTGCACGACGGTTGGCATTTGACGAGTGAAAATCCAGTCATTTTTGCAGTATCTGTGATCAGCACAGAGAGACGTTTTACTTCTCTTGTGTACATCCCAGCAGACCTAGACTGGTGAAGACAAAATAAAATAAAATAAAATAAAAAAATCTGTCCAAATCTCCAAAACTGTGGCGCCGAGGCCAGCTGCTGCTAGGAGACTCTTCAACTTCAACCCCATCATGCCTTTCTTTTTTTGCCCCTAGTCTTTCTTTAAATATCACCAGATCCAAGATGTCAGCCCGGAGTGGAGTAGCACAGAGCCTCCGAATCCACCGCCAGGCCCCAAGTGA